GATAATGGACTTGTTATCTAAGCAAATGTCTCTTTTTCCTTTTAGAAAAATATTTCATGATGAAAACACAAACGTATGTGAATGGTAACTGAAAAAGCTTTGCTTCCTTCTAGAAAACCACTAGGATTTGCATAAGCCACTGGACTGTCTGCTAAGTGATTCTCTGCTTTGTCAGTCCCTGGGGACCTTTAACATTAAGTTCTTGATGTTATTACAGAAAAGGAAAGCTCTAAATTTGAAGATAGATATTTGTTAAACTTCAAGAAATAACAGGTGTAAAACTGGGTATTCTAAAAATCTTTATAAAATGATCAATAAAATTGTATATTATAACTGTACACATAAAATTAAAAAAAACTTTTAAGTTTAATAGCAAATATCCTGTTATTTATTTGCCTTTGGTAGTACTGAGTTATATTTAGAGTAAATATTCAAAAATGTGCCAATTTGAGGATTGGGAAGAAAATGTAAATACATTTCTATTATCACTCTTAACATGTTCCAAAGACAGCAGTACAAACATAGCCTGGGGGCCGGGGATTTGGCTCAGCAGTAGAGCGCTTGCTTAGCAAGCTGGAAGCCCTGGGTTCAGTCCTTAGCACCAAAAACAAAAACAAAACAATAAATTTCTCCTACAAAACAGTTCAACCAAAAAAACTCTCAAAAAAACAAAACAAAACAACAACGACAACAAAAACAAAGAACAATAAAATAGTCTGATTGCTTCTGTTTGGTATTTATTCCCTGAAGTAGAGGCCAGAGATGGTTTGAAGAAAAGAATGGTATAAGACATTGTTAGAATTTTGCTAAGTTCCAATTCTGGAAAAGTAGATTGATGTTGAAATTTTTATAAATAATTACATGTCTTACTGGTAGTAAAGTAATAGCCACCTTTGAGGTTATTTATTGGTATTTAGAATGTGGAAACTGCAAACATAATTCAGTAAGCATTGCATTTCATAAGCCTCGCATTGTTCCAGATAAATTTGCATAAACTGTACCTGATAATTTTTCATATAACTAACTTTTCAGGTATAAGTAGCTTGAAACAGTTTGTTTCTCTTGAAGACAGTACTAGATACACTTGTCATTTCCCCTCTGTCTCTTATGACACCATGTTTCATCTTGTATTGATTTATCCTGGGTAAGTATGCATTTAAAGTGAGAATGGCTGGAATCATAAGAAATCTTCGGACAGACAAAGGACAGGGTGCCGTACTAAGGTTGATTCACCACCTCCATGTTCACTGCTAACATTTCGTAAGGCACACATCCTCCTTACGACATTCTTGTGAGATACATGTGGCTTCGTAGCTGCTTATTGAAAGTCCCTGGGTTCAGCTGTGTTCCAGAATACGCAATGCTTTTGGAGTCTAGAAGGGTAATTAGTGCCTGTGCCTTGTGATGTACTGCTCTCCAGTGGGGTCCGGGAAGCTCCTCATCTGCAAGGCTGTTAAGATTTCTGCAGGGAGACGTGAATAGTTGCACTGCGCAGAATAAATAAAAACCATAAATACACTCATGTTAATTCAGGTTAGGGCTGGCCACCAAAGGGGTTTGAGCCTCATCTTAGGAAAACATTTGTTCTTTTCCCTCCTTTTTGATCTTTTGAAATTAAGGTAATGGAATTAGAAAACTGCACTATTACAGTCTTTTTATAGTGGTGAGGGAACCGAGGTCTAGAGAAATCAAGAAACTTGGCCATTGGTATGCAGTAAGGGGCGAAGTGGGGCCGTGACCGTGTAGTGATTTGAAATAGTAGTTAGATCGGTACATACTGAGGTGGTGATATTTCTATGAGAACTCATTAAATTAAAAAGCTACTCAGCCTCTAGCACCAGAAGGAATTCACTTGTAAAGAATAACACACATAATATTGTATTATTCTTGGGGAAGATTTCTATCATTGTCTATAAACATTAAAAAGAATGATTTAGAAATAGATTCCCTAGATTCTTGACAGAATATAACTCTGATGAGTAGGATACATAGGGTCATAACAAGTAAGAATACCTTTACTTCTTTACCATGCACGCATCTGTGTTATTTGTATTTTTAAGTGGTGAATACATTGTAGAGGAAAAGTGGGAGGAAAAGTCATGACAGGTACAAATTTTTAGTGTTGCTTCAGGAAAATGGAAAGCTTGGTGCCCTGCGTTCTTGTCATCCAGTACCCAGAAGCCCCGCTTTTCATTGTCATTCATGTATTACACAGGCTGCTTGGGCAGTGTAATTATTCTGCTGTTTTCTGTAGATAGCCAATTTTCTCAAAGGTGCAGAAGAATAGCATTTCATGCAGAATGAATGGAGCTTAGTGAGATGAAATATCACCCGTGAAATATAAAGTTCAAGCTGTGCAAGGGTTGCGGCGTTGTGTCTTGGCCGACAAGCCGTTAGTTAGCAGGCTGCTGAGTGATCTGACAGTGTGAAAGGGCCACCGGCAATGTGAATGTGATCTTTAGCTCTGTCCTAGGAGTCTAGCATTTAGACTGTGGCTAGCAGCCAAGTCTCACCCATGTATCTAGCCATGGCTGGAGTCACGCCTCCACTTCTGGAGGCCATAGTTCAAAGCAATAGTTTAAGTAGTTTGAAGCATAGTTTAAAGCAATGTGAAATCTTTGCTGGGCAGACTGGTTGGGAGGTTGAGGGATTTGAAATCATGCGATGGTGTGCTATGGCATGTGTTTGGATGTCCTTCCCATCATATGTTCATAGGTGCGGATTTTTCAAAGGTAGTTGGCTCTAGGATATGTGCTGCTGGAATTGAGTCATGGTGCAGCGTGAGGATCAAGGGCACTAGGATTAAGTAGCCCGGATAAGATATAAGGACTGAAAGGGCTGTGGTTGACCTCATTGCTTTGCTACCTCTGCCCACCATGAGCTGCTTCTCCTCTGGAATGTCTGTCTGCCACTCACCCTTCCTTGGAGCCAGCCAATTATGGACTGAAACCTCTACAAACTATGAGCTAACTAAACCTTTCCTCTTCTAGCTTTGGGTGTTGGGAATTTTTGTCTCAGCAGTGAGAAAAGTAACTAAGATACAGTGGCACATGTGAAATCAACATCGAGCTTAGCTAGGTATGTGTCAGCTTCTAGCAATATGTGACTGTTTTATGTTGTCAAATGAGTAATTTTAGTCCAGTGTTGATAGACTGCCAGTCTCTGCTGCAGCCTGAGTGTCGAGTGTTTAGGGTACAGAGATGAGAAGGTGTGGATCTTTGCCTTCCTGGGCTCTTGAGAGTACAAAGGTCAAAGCTGTGTGCTCAGCACTTCAGATAGCTTGAAAGGTAATAGTACACATTTAATCCAGAGGTAACACAGAGAAATCGCAGCCAACTCTTCCTGTGGTGGTGGGTGATGGGGTGGGCGTTAAGTCCCTCAGAGGGAACCTGAACTCTGAGCTGGGTTTTCTAAAATGAAATGTGTGTTTCAGTGGGTGTCTTTATGAAGTGTAATAAAGAACACAGTGAATGTTGCTGCTGAGAATCACCCAACACAAACGCAGGCTCCTAACACATTGTGTTTTGCTGTCATCCACCTTACTCACCAGCGCTCACATCGTGTGGCTGCTCAGTCTTCTCCAAAGTCAAATGACCATGGAAGGTAAACATTTTGAATGAGTTCAGGGCATCAAGACCGAGGGGTCAGCACAAGTAAAGATGCTGCAAAGAAGACTTCTGGAATTGCTTCAGAAAGCAGCAAAAATGATGAGATAAATTGATCACCATCAGAGGAAGTGTTTTGAGGGGGACTATTGTCTCTTATTGTAATAATTTAAAATATTGTATGTATGTTTGGAGTAATATTCACTTCTTTGGTAATACTATTTGGAAGAATTTGGGGTCTAAGAAGAATAGAAATTAGTACAGTTTCAAAGGCTCAGGATCAGGTGGGGTAGGGCACAGGGAGACAGATTTAGCATTGATTTTAAAAGTTCTTAATGGAGCTGTAGAAAGGCTCTCTAGAATTTCCAGTCCTCAGAGATGTGAAAACAGAGGCAAGGCAGCTTTTTGTCAGTCACAGTGCTGGAGTTGGTCACACAGGACAGAAAGAAGCAGAAAGAAGGGTTTACTTCAGGTCTGAGTCCTGGAGTCAGATTCCTAGGATTGACTTTTCTCCTTGCTGGCTCTGTGTTAATAAATTTTGTCAAAATTAATATTTAACATTACTGTGCTCAGATGTTAGCACAGTAACACCTGGTACTATGTTAAGTCGGTCACTAATAAATCCTGGATAGTACTGTTGTCACTGGTGGTTAGTTGATGTGTGCTTTAAAATTCCTCTTTGATCAGAAAATCTGGGACACCACTAAGTTAAAGGATGTGACAGGACAGGTAGGTTCTCTTATGTGGCTAGGGCCACAATGTTGGCTATCCTTGTAGCCCTTCTTTTTCTCTGTTTTCATCTGCCAACTTAAGTTGTTAATCCTCCAGAAGAGAAGCTTAATGATATTATTACCCTAAAACATAGGCTATTGAGTTTATACAAAATAGTTAGCATAGATATATTTTCTCTTAGTTCAGTGAGAAGAAAGTTTTGAACTAATAGTGTTTAGACAAGGTATCATGTCTGTGTCTTGTCCTATGAATAACTACTATGAAGACAACAACATGCAATGTATTAATTATTGTAACTGTCCTACTAACCTGTTTTGAAACTGTCTTATTGCTATTTCTTTCTCAATAAAATTAATATAAAAATAAAATTCCTCTTACTCCAACCTGGAAATTCCAGTTGTGTAATTGTGTGACAATATTCTTGTGAGTTTAGAAAGTGGTAATGAACAAACAAAGGCAAAAAACAGAACTGGTACTATGAACTCAGCAGCAAAGACTGGAGTAAACCTCTCTCTGTAGTTGAACAAAAGAACATTGCTTTATGTAACTGTTAGTAACTGTCTTGCCCTGTCCTGTCTGGATCTTCCACAACCCACTCAGAGTGGTTTTTCAGGGCTGATGCTACCTGATTCTCCATAGCTTGTGTTTTTCTTTATCTTGTAGCTAAAGTGGCCTTGTGCATAGAAATGCCTGCCCGAGTACCGGGATCGGAGATAATGGATGAAGATCGAGTGATGGAAGAAGTCTTAGATAAGTTTGTTAATTCTCATGAGCAAACCTATGAAGAATTTTTGAGCACGTTCACTCATCTTTCAAAAGGTAAAATGGAGGAATAAACTTTCTAGACCAGTGGAGATAAAAACTATATTATACATCTATACTATATGTACTATATTATACAAAACTGTATTACTACATTTACTTATGTTGGCGCTACCTTGTAAGAAAGATTGTTTCATTAGCATTCATGCAATTCTTTGATCAGGTAATTCTTATTAGTAAAACTGATGTGTGTAAATACCAGTGCTTTACACATCTAAGAGCTATGTTATGGGGTCAGAGCCACTGAACTTGTCAGTTAAAAATGTCCTGAGAGATTATTTAATATAATCACCTCATTGTATGTCTTCCGAAGTATGAAAGAAAGGAGTCCTGGTTGTTAAAAGAATATTTAAAATATAAATGCTGCACACATTTGGGTTCTTGCATCACTACTTATTGGCTATGTGATCTGGGTATGGAGGGCAGTTGATTAAAATACTAGCTCATAATAGCTCGCCCCTCTTGCATGTTGATAGAGGATGGTTGAGGGAATCCTTGGGAAATTGAGCTCAGTGATTAGCACGTAGGAAGCCCCAAGGAGCGCTAAGTGTTGTGATTGTTATGAAGGGCATGCTGATGGTGGTGGTGGCGGTACAGACCATCATGGTGCTGTGATTTCTCGAGATAGAAAACACCGCCTTGGACCTGTGCTAATGATCTGCAGTCCAAAGGCCAAGCCCATCCTCTCTTTCTTTTTGTATTTTACTTGCCTCATACAGTGTTATGTCTTTAATTAAGTCAACAATCGGAGGTTGGATAATTTTACATGGAAGTCTTGATTTGTGTCATTTAGGGGATGAAGTGAGGTATGATTTTTCTCTTGGCACTGTCAGCTGGAGCTTCCTAGCTTGGCGTGCTGTCACAGCCTGAAAGTAATTGTGTATACTGCGTGCTTTGTTCACTTACGTGGCTCTCCAGGCACTGGAGTTGTAATCTGTGTTCTAGGTTCTGCCTCAGATTGTTATCGTCTTGCTCTCAGCCCGGTCCTTTCTTGGCCATTGGGTCTGCTTGAGGTCTCCTTGAAGACTTTGGTTCTCCAGCTGTGCATTAGACTCACCTGGGGAGCTTTTGGAATGTAGTGATACCTCAGTGCTCTTTGAAGCTCTTCTAGGACTGAGCGATTGGAGTTTTTGAAGGCTTTTATGACAGCTTTATTGTGTACCCAAGGGTGAGGACAGAGAAGTTTGTAATCTCTAAGCTCATGGCACTGTTAGGAAACCTGGTCTAATGCTTGTAAATTGTGATTCATATATTCTAAACAAATATAAAAGAAGAGTAGTTATATTAAACATGCAGAGTATAGGCTGAGTGTCCGTAATCTGATAATCTGAAATGCTTTAAAATCTAAAACTTTTTGAATACCAACATGGTGGAATGGGTAGAAAATTCCACACTTAATGTCGTATGACAAGTCATAGTCAAAACATTGGTGTACCCCTTCCCCCCAAAAATGTACAAAATTACATTCTGGTTAAGGTATAAATAAACACGAATTAATTTTATGAATGTTCAGATTTGGGACCTATCCTGAAGATATCTCACTATGTGTATGCAGGTATTCCAAAATATGAAAAAAATCTGAAACTCAAAACATTCCTGGTTGCAAGCAGTTTGAATAAGGACACTCAACTGTGTGTGTCAAACTGTCAACTCAAGGTGTGTCAAACTGTCATAGATCTCAGTTTTCTTAGTTTCTTTGTGAATGTATATATGTTGTAGAGCTCTCTGAAGTAGAGCTTTCTGAAAAATCTTAATAATTTTGAAAATTACTCGTATGGCTGATTGTATTTCTGTACCATGGGATAGTAAAAACCTTTTGCCAGGAGTTTGGTTTAAGGAGTCCTGCTGTATCTGTTTTGGGGATGAGGAGGTGTAGTCTGGTTGCAGATTGTGATACGACCGCTGCATGCAGAACACAAACTGTTTGCAGATGTAGTGATTTCATTTTGAGCTGAACTTAGGGCCTAAAATTGAGCTGAAATAAATGATGATGCCAGCCACATAAAACTGTATCTCCAAAAGCACACAAATTGTTTTTTCCTTTCAAAACGTCCCTAGGCACCAGTTCACATTATAAACTAATGACCTAAAAAAATTCATCTTAAAGCATAAAGTCTTGCCAGTACAAAAATATGCCTTAAATCAGAAGTGTCCTCTTTTCCTCCTAAACATTTCAATATCACCTGAAAAGCCAAACAGGACTTAAGGACAGACCTAGGTGGTGAGTGATAGCCTAGAGATTTGATCTAGGTTACTATAGTCAGGTTTGTTTGAGAAAATCCTTAAGTTTCCGCCTTTAAAATTCCTATCACATCCCCGACTCCTTGCTTTCTAGCCCTTCATTTGTTTCACTGTGTTGGTGGCTTGCCTGATTTGCCACGAATCTTTTCTTCGTTAAAGTGTTTATCATTATGCATACTTACATATATTTTCTTGGTAAGTTCAGTTTCTCAACTCCATTACCATTTCTACTGATTGACTGTTCTATTCATTTTTATAGTAGTTATATGCCAGAATGCTTATGGGATTGGCTTTCTTTCCAAGAGTGTTAAAAGGGTCAGTAATCCTATTAAAAATATTTTCCTGGAAAAATTAAATTACAGTCTTATTGAAAGAAATTCACATTATCTCTGCAGACTCTTAGGAAATGGCTGGAAACCTAGTATTTCAGTATAATTCTCATTACAGTACATATATATGATCATGTTTTTTTCTCTTTTAAAAGTCTTAGGTTTTTAAACTATCATCACATATTTGCTAATAAATACAGTGTTCCATCAAAATGTTTAAAGAAATATCATTTATTAGTTTTGAAATGTTATGATTGAATTCTCAGTGTTATCTTCAGTTCAAGAGGATAAATTGAGTTCTAAGATATGTGTTAGAAAAGCAGAATGCAGATTTTATTTTGTCATTATTGGTAAATACATTATATTGTTGGCAATGTGGATAAAGTTAAGTGCCAGATCCCAATTTTCTTAGTTTCTTTGTGAATGTATATATGTTGTAGAGCTCTCTGAAGTATCTTGGGGAAAAGGCTTCTTTCCTCTTAGCTACATTTCTGTCTTTCTCTTAGATTCTAAAAACACAGGTGTGACTATTTCTATTTGTTTTTTCATTAATGCAGGCATTCATTTATTCCTCTGTTAGTTGTCTGAGCAACTTTCTGTGGTCTAGGTATGATTTTAGGGGGTGAGGAGTCAATGACAAGCAGGGAGGAAAGAGCGGGCTGGCCAGACAGCTCATCATATTAAAACACCTGCTTAGGCAGACACAGGGACCAGGGTTCGATCCCCATCGTGCTGTGCTGGACCCGCCCTGGGGGCCAGCTGAGATGGCGACTGAGACTAGGAGTGGTGATGCACACCTGTAATCCCAGCACTTGGGAGGTTGAAAATAGGAGGATCACTGAATCCAATCTGTGTAGTGAGACCCTGTACTAAAATACGAAAAAAAAGAAAAAAAAAAAAGAAAGAAAAAAAGACCAAGGAAACAAAGATAAGTTGGGTATATAGTTTTTATTCTGAGGTCCTTATCGTACAGTGAGAAATAAAGAAACAAGAAGGAAATCAAACGAATGTATGAGTACCAGCTTCGCAGACAGGCCCTGTACTCTAAGAGCTTATAGGAGACCCTCCAGTTTGTAGTTGGAGGAGTGATAAAGGTTCCCTATCAGCTGGCTCCCCTCTCCGATCGCCAACATCACCCTCTGCAGGTACTGGACTGGCACCAAGTCTTAAATTTTCAAAAGTATGAGGTAAAGAAAACTCTTCTCATAAGGTACCTAGCCTCAGGTATTTTATTACAGCAACAGAAAACAGGATCCAGATGAGTCTGGGATAACAAAGAAACATAACTTGCCTTGTGCTCTGAGATACTGGGGAGAGCGGGGAAAATTTTGACAGATTAAGACCTGAAGAACAATGCATTAGAATGCTTCCATGTCCTGGCTTCTGTTGCTTTTAGTGCATTTTTTTTTTCTACAATTAGAATTTTATTTTATTTTTTGTTTAATTTTTTTTTTTTAGGTGAGTTTTCTTTCCTTTTTTTTTTTTTTTTTTTTTGTTGTTTGTTTTGTTTTCGGTGCCAAGGACTGAACTCAGGGCTTCGAGCTTGCTGGGCAAACGTTCTACTGCTGAACTGAATCCCCAGCCCCTACAGTTAGAATTTTAAATAATAGGTCTTCCAGCTAAAGATGTAGCCTTGCTTCAGTAAGATTTAGAATTACTTCTGAACTGCTGGAAGAGAAAGACAGTTTCTTTTTCATTTCCTTCCACAACAGGATAAGCACACGGCCTGATACTTGAAGCATTTGGTCTGACCTTTTAGAGCAATGGCTACTACTCATGTTCCTCTTAGAGTGTTGCCAAGAAGCCAGTAGCTTAGAGACTGACATTGCATCTAATGGCAGGGTTGGGGCGGTGCTAGAGAGCCGTGGTGCTGAATGGCGAATGTGGATGTGACTTGTTCTCCCGTGGTTCATGTGCTGAGGAGTTGGTCCCTGGTGTGCACGTGCTGAGGTAGTGGGATCTTTGAGAGGTGAGGTCTGGTGCAGAGCGATTGTGTTGCTGGGACTACTGCATTCAGAAGGTGTTAATACTGGTCTATGGAGTGATTTAGTTCCAATCACGTGGGTTGATATAAAAAGAGAAATGCTAGGACCTTCTTGGCCTGCCTTTCAATTTCTGTCTTTTAATGTGAGTTTTTTGCACTTGTTACTGCTGTAATACTGTCTGCTGCAAGGCCTTCTCTAGTTCACCAGCATTGCCCCAGCAGGTACTGACATCATGCTCTTGAATTTTCAAAAGTATCAGTGAAATAAACCTTTTCATAAAGAATCTAGACTCAGTCATTTTGTTATAGCAACAGGAAACGGAATGATGCAGAAGGTTATAGCAATTCCCATTTCTTGTTCTGTCTGTCTCCGTCTCTGTCTTTCTATTCCTTTCTGTCTTATATTCATGTCCATATACACATCCCCATACCCACCCCCTTAT